ATCGGTATCCAAATGTTTTTCTTTCTTTTAAGTACTCTACACAGCTCTTTCTACTTTGCTGACAGAATCTTTGCAAGAGCTTCTGAGGTAACCTCCAGAGCAGCTTCAGATTATTAATAAAAGCCACCTATGACTATAAATATGTACTGTTCCTATTCCTTAACGTTTCTAAAGGTGTAGTCGCTTGTATGCATTCTAACCCGCTAGTAGATACTAATGGCAAGAAGATAATGATGAACTGCAGATAGTCTTTTTCATCTTCTCAGACTGCTTTGATCAAATACGTCAGTGACTTTACAGATGACCTGTCTATTGATCAGGATGCTAAGCATTGGAACAGAGTTCTGTGAAGTATTGAGGTTTTTTTACTCTGCTTTGCCCACCAAAAATCATTAAAGTCGCTGGCATAGCGAGGAATAAGCTTTAACAATCTCTGGTGTTGATAAATCAAAGTTTGTGTGTGCATGGTCTGCTTTGTAATAAAGTCAAGGTCTGGCCATCAAATTGTCTGGTCCCTGTTCCCCAAATAGTTCATGGACTAACCAGGTGTGAACTAAAGCAATTGCTGGCAAAGTGGAATGCAGCCCTTCAGTCTATCCAGTATGATGGGTAGGCTATAAACTGTAAACTACACATAGACTGTAGAGCAGGAAAGAACAGGTATCCTTTCCTAGTTTTGTTGAGTGAGGACACCAGAACATATGAGAGGCTTCTGGTAAGGCAGAAGATCCATCTCCTCTGGTTTCCAGTACCCAGGTGCCTGAGAAAGCATGTAAGACCAGAGCAAGTGCATAGGCGTCCTTCCGTTCCATAGCCTAGGAATTTGAAGCTTGTGGATTGCTGAGGTTTTGCATTTGTATTTAATGTCATTAGGTGACCTTTCTTCCATTGATCTTATTATTTACATATCAAGGAAATTTGTTTCTGATGGATATAAACTGATTTCCCTCTGAATAGGAAAGTCAGAGTAGTAAATGTCATCACACCTGTGACAAAGTTATCAGCTCTGTCTATCCGAACAGAAAAGAGTGGAGTGGAAGACCTGTTTCGTTTTAGGAAGTTACCATTTAAATGGACCTAAGCTGGCTTGGATGTTAATATATCACTGAGATAAATGGGATGGAGGAGAGTTTATTTCTTCGCTGCCACAATGCTGGCAGGCCCCTGTGCCCTGTAATTGATTAACAGGGCACAGTGCATTGACTTATATGGGAAAAGCTATTATATCTCAGTAACAGGAAGGTATATATGATTCTCGTTTAGTAAGTAAAAAATTGGATTCTGCAGGAAATAACTAGAACTGCTGAAAGAACCAAAGGTTCCCAAGGATTTTTTTTAACTCTTAAATCTGTGGCATAACAGCATTTCATGTTACGAAGGAAGTTTAAATAGTGCAGTATATTTAGTGGAACTTTCATACACAGCTAGAAATATTAGCTTATGTAAGCAGACTTTTAACTTCTGTTCTATTGGACCCAAAGTCCTGAGTTATTGATGAGATCAATATCTTTTTTAACAGCTGTTCATTCAAAGTGTAATGCTTCCCTGTAATTCATACACATCTGTGGTGAATTTCCTATATTTTGAAGCCTAAATGAGTGAGCAGGTTGACAGGGTGTGTGTGTTTGTTTTTTAAACAGTAAGAAGCTTATTACTTGGGATCCCAAAACAGGCATAAGAAGCGAATGCAGTTCTAAACAACAGGGAAGGAAGACGGTACCAATTAAGTTTGCTTTTTCAATTGCCACCACCCCTGACCCTAGTATTGGTGATTCCAGCCACACTGAGAAAGCAGATGGCCAGGTTCAATACTTCAAAAGCAGACATACACCAAATGAAGCACATTAATGACTGACAGTAAGACTTGGGATCACAGGGACAAACACAGTGCGGTACTCCCTGTGGGATTTTAGTTTTAGTTTTTGGCTGTGTCAGGCTTGTCTTTCTCATTTGTTTGAATCCAAGTTAAGGAAGCAGAGAGACAAGGCAAGACCATACAGGGGGAGGATGCTTTAGAAGTCAGTACTTTTTCCATAGAAGTTTTCCCCATACTTCTTTTCGTGTGGCATCATCAATAGTAGCAGCGATATTGTAGCTGTCAAAATACAAGGAGGAAGTGTTCTCTATAACTAGTGGGGTCGCTACAGAAAAGAAGTTCTGATGAGCTTCTGTGATTTGGAAAGGCTTTTTCCAAAGCTCTCATTGTTTCTGAACACATTTCTGTTGAATAAATTAATCCCTTTTTAGATGGGAGTTCTTATAGCTCTTTTGTTTCAAATTATTCTTTCTAGAGTATCATGACCAATGGCTTCCCATTACATTCCATAATTAATCAAATTGCAGAAGTAGCATACAGTTCTGTGGCTAAACCTTTCTTCTACTTATATTCTTCCATACAGATGGGGAGTTTTCTCCTCAGCCCCCAGTGTGAAAGTATAGGTGTGGGGAAAACCATCTAACCCTATGATTTGCTTGGAAAAAATATACCACCCCACCCCCCCCAACGGAACAGATATTCAGCCTTAGCTCTCATTATGAATGTGAATATATTTCTCTTAGTCAATATCGCATAAGATAAGCATTGGAAAATATGATAAAGAGACTTTGTTATGTATTTGTAAAATATTTCTGCTTATGTGTACTTCTTTGTTCAAATGTTTCCTTTGCGTTTTACCTAAGAACAGTATTAATGGCAAATTAATTCAACTCTCTAGCTACTACCAGTGAAGAGGCAGCGAGAGCAGATTGCTAGCAGTCTTTATGTTGAAAACCTGTTTATTTGAACAACTGAAAAAATACTGTAGATAAATAGTTGAGAAACTTTAACTCTGTGATTGTAATATGAAGAAGGGCTACAGGAAATCTGGAGAGGGACTTTTTACAAATAATAAAAAATCTATGTAGTGACATAGGACAAGGGGAAATGGCTTTAAGCTCAAAAGAAAGGAGGTACAGATTAGACATTAGGCAGAAGTTCTTCCGTGTGAGGGTGCTGAGGCGCTGGCACAGGGTGCCCAGAGAAGCTGTGGCTGCCCTATCCCTGGCAGTGTTCAAGGCCAGGTTGGACGGGGCTTGGAGCAACCTGGTCTAGTGGAAGGTGTCCCTGCCCTTGGTGGGGGCTTGAAACTGGATGAACTTTAAGGTCCCTTTCAGCCCAAACCACTTCTTTTGTGAAGCTCTGACCTTGAACTGTGACTGAAATCACAGCAGCCTGGCACCCACGTAAGCCTTCGCTCCGTGCTGTGCCCCTGCTGCCAGGGTTTGCTCCTGTGCATCCCTGGTGTGTTGCTTTAGATGGCGTGATGTGAGCTTCAGGCATGGTGCCTCTGTGGCTACAGACTCTTGACCATGTGTGGCCACATCCAAGGCAGGGCAAGGAGGGAAGAGGTGAATTGGTCCTTTTATTTTGTGGTATAAACAATAATGCTTACAACCATTTATTTTCCCCTGTCAAAATTCCATCATTAAATAGTGTGGTAGTGAACTTTAAAGCCATTGGAATTGTCCTTTAATTCAGTGCAAAGCAATTGTACTTTCCCCTTGCCTGTGCTTTTATGCTGGTATGAGTTTTGTTTTCTCCCTTAACAAACTGTTGGAGATTTGTGAAGGAAACTTACTTATTTTGTTAAATGTCAAGAGTACTGACTCATGAGCAAATGTTCTCCTGTATTTCATTGCTTCAGTTTCTATTGCTGTGAAAATAATTTTATTTTTCATTACATGAGACTGGAAATTTTAGGAGACCTGCATTATAAATGACTTGGTTTGCTCACAAGCCTGTTTTTTTTTTTCCCATTGAGGTTCCTCTTTTCATGGTAGGATTAATTCAGTCTCTGTATGATCCAGTCTGACCACATCACTATTTCCTAGTAGTACCAAAATTATATGGTGTGGCTGAGCACTAAAATATCCTGCCAAACAGAAACAGGGGTGGTGTAGTGCTTTCTAGATGTATAAATTGAGGTGTTTCTGCTCGCAGCAGTGCCTGTGTTGCAGTCTGTGTGTTCAAAAGGATGAAGGGATGAATCAAGACATCTGGTGTAGATGATGAAGTTTTTTAGGCTGTACCTGAAATGTAAATGAGTAATGTAGCCCACGTTTTATTCCTCTGTTGAAGTAATTGAGGAAAAAGGGCAAAGGGCAGTATATTACTTGGGTATTTGAAAAATCAAAACGCAGTTCTCTTTGTTCTGATTTATGTAACTTCATACAACAGTGGATTTGTTTTAAACTTTTCCATTAGAAAGGGAAAGATTCTGATTTTGGGGTTTTTTTTTTCCATCTCAGGTGCTAATACAAAGTCTTATTTATACTGGGTAAAATAGATGTGACGTACTCATGGATTCTAGAGATCCTGTTTAAAAGGCACCCAACCAAAACAACAACAAACACACCAAAATAATTTGTATTTTGCTAAGTTCTAAAGTAAATCTGTAATAAGTGATAATTCATCGGCATTTATTAATGTACCCGAATTGGTTTCCTTTTTTAAGATATCAGTTTATCAGCACTTCAGTTACAGTACTGAGAGGTTTTATCTTAGCTACTTGATACAAAGCTTTCATGATAATACTTTTCATTAGCACTGGGTTTTCATGTTGAATAAGCCATTTCAGATGTGTCGGGGCCAGCTTGCTTGTTCACTTGTAGTATCTGGAAGGAGAGTGGTGGCCTATAGTTAGGCAGCACCATTAGCTAATTCTCTCCTTTATTGAAGCCTTTATTTTCCCATGTTGAGGGGTGTGTGTATGTGTTTGTGGGTTTTGGGGTGATTTTTTTTCTTGTTGCTTGTCAGTGTGGGTTTGGGGTTTGGGAATTTCTGTTGTTTGGTTTGTGGTTGGGTTTTTTAAACTAAAATATTGGATTGTAGCCTAATGCATTTCATGTGTAAAAAATAACAAGGTTATGTTATAACCCAGCAGAAAAATCAAAGGCACATTGCCACTTAATATGTATGAATTATTAACAGTATAAAGTGAATCTGTGTTCTTGTGTTTCAGAGAAGTGTGATGAGCCTTTGGTCTCAGCGTTACCCCACTCCTCCTTCAGCAGTTCATCATCTATGACAAGCAGCTATGTACCTGGGTATGCCAAGTTAAACAAGAGAGGAGGTAAGGAGTGCTCTCTACGTTAACGTTCAGATATTGAAAAAGCAACAGATGATACTTTTAATACGAAAATGCTTTTATGTAAAATATTCTTGCTTGTTTGCTTTAACAAAGTCTTTGTTGTCTGACAGCTGCTCAGTGTATGTGACAGTAATAGCACTCCCTTGCAGTGCATGGAGGAATGCACCACTAATAACATACAGCATCATGGGCGTGTCGATGGACTCACACAATGCAGTTGTACAATTGACTTCAGTTAAAAAGGCTTATCTGTGCTCATCGGGTAAATGGACATTTGCAAGTTCATGGTTGTTGGAGCAAACCTAAACAGCTTTGATGCACTTTGTTGATTTAACTTGTTTCCTGCATTAGCACTGACTGCTGTTGCTCAGTGCAATGCCACCTGTTTTGGTCGTTGGAAGAATAGGTGTGTAACTTCAGTCTACCTAGTCTAATTATATCCTAGGGCTAGGCAAATTTATGTCACAGTCTGAAAACAAGTCTTTATCTTTACCGACAGGAATTTTGATAGCTTTCCTTGATATTATGGATATTATACCATTTTGATATACATCTCATAAATAATTTTGCAGGAATTATACATTTAAACGTGAAACTTCAGATTAACAGAATTAATATTCTGAATACTATTGATTTTTTTTTCTAACTAATATCAATCTGAAAATCCTGAAATTGAAAATTTCACTAATTCTTGTGTATCAATACCAAACTTTTATTTTCTACCCAAAATACATGTCAGTGGGATAATGAAATGACTTTAAGAGCATAGGATTGAGAAATGCTTTTGCTGTATGGATGAAGAAGAAGGAGCAAGTGACGGTAGTCATGATCTTCTAAATCCTGAAGATCTAGGCAAAACAGCAGACTTGTAGAAGGTTGGCTTACTGGCAGTGCTGCTTTTATTTGTCCTGCTCCTGTAGGATTTCTGCTGGTCCTGCCTAGATACTGTATTCTGCCTCCTAAAACTGGTGGTGCCAGTTGCCTGGAGATCAGCACACAGGAAGGGATGAGCCAGGTCTGTCAAGCCAGCAAGCAAAATCCCTAAGTGAGGAAGAGTACCATCTGGGCTGGGCATGGATCCACCTATGATATGGCTCACATAGAACCTGGGGGCTGAAATGGGACTCCCAAGCTCTTGGGCAGGGCACTCTGGTCCCTCAGTGGGTAGGGCGATTACCCTGTTGGTAGCCTCAAAGCTGTGATGTTGATCTTTATTTATTCTTCTGCAACTGCATTTGTCTGAGTTCTCTGTATGTGTAGGGTTCTTGTCCTTTGTCTTTTTGTCTTGTTCTTTGTTTTCTAAAATCAGTCAGCTCCCAAGGTTGCATTCTTTTAATGGCTAGTAATTGACCTGTTACGTTGTTTATAGCCCTTCTCCCTTTGGTACCACCCTGTACTTCCAATATCTCTGTGACTGTAGTCCTCTACATTACATTTTTATTCTACAGTACTAGTTTGTTCTCTGCAGAATGTCTATGTACAAATATATATATACTTGAATTGATATACCGATAGTCACTAGCCCATGCCATCACAAAACTAAGGCTGTGTTAACTGGGTATTAGAGAGTTGCTATTACAGCTACACAAGCTGAAGAGAAACTGAAGACAGGCTTAGAGAAAATACGACTCGCAAGTTCTGGTGCTGAGCCCTGCAGATGTTTATGGAAAGCCTGTGGCCTATCAGGAGCATTGGCAATTTCTTTGGGTTTAGGCCTGTAGACTAGTAGAGAGCATTGTTAATCGCTCCAGAAATTTAGAAGGCCCTTTCTAAATGGGAAGAGATGCTGGTTTATGCCTGTTGCTGGATTTTTCTTCAGTAAAACTCAGTTGCCTTTACTTTGTTACGTGCTTTTTAGTAGTTCTTTTTCTGTTGCAGAATGCCTGAACACAGGTTTTGATAGGCTTTTGAATCTCTTTTCAACTGTTCATTGCCTACATGAAAGAAGTCAAAGAACAGTGAAATTCTAAAACACTGCTCATCATTTAGGTTGACTTCTCCTGTATCTTATCACAGCTATGTTTGTTTGTGTTCTGTTATGTGTTCTGTAACAGGAAGAAAGTGTCTAGAATCACTTTAATAGAATCATTGCATCAGCTTGCTGGGCAGGATCTTCAAATTGATTTTACATGACTGTTTCTCCTTCTAGTTTACTAGACTACTTAGTTGTAAGAGAAAGGCAAATCACACATTTGGATTATTTTTTCCTTAGTTATATTTACCCTCCCCTTTCTGACCTGTATAATCACTACAGTGCTGTTTCTTTTAATGCTGCTTCTTTAGCAAGAAGGATCTACAGTGCTGTCATTAATCAAACATTTGCTTAATTTCTACTATAAAAAGATCATTTGAAATATAGTTGCACCTATTTGCTTAAATAGCAACTTCTTTAGACTGCTGTCACCCATCTTTTTATTCCTATGAAGCCTGGCATGCAGGCTTTCCAAAACTGAAGCTTCAATATGTGTATAACCCAATTTTGCTTTCTTAATTCTAGTGACAGTAAAAGTACTGCAGAATTCAGGAATGTGTTTAACATGGGAAATCTGCTTTCCCTATGTTTATGCTTCTGCTTTTACAAATGGGAAATAGCTCATTCTGAATGCTGCACTATTTCACAACATCCTGGGATTACAGATATCACACTAGTAATAAGTGAATCCATTTTTTTTTCTTTCCAAAGAGTCATTATTAGCTAATAGGTTCCCAAATCAAACATGCTATTTAAACCACACTGTGTTCAAGTCATTAAATGGAAAGAACTCCCCCTCCTCCAGCCCCTGACCCTTTAAATTAAGGAAATGGGCATTTGAAAATTCTGGTTTCCAACCCAGATACCTTTTTTTGGCTGTTTTACTGGCCTTTCACTCCAGACTGCCAAAACACTTTAGCCAAAGGGATAGTATATTTTATTCTGTTGATTAAAACACTAAAATATTGAACAGTCCCATCATGTCAAGAAGGTTGCAGTTGTGACTGCAGTTGTTCTGGTTTAGTTTCCTGCTATAAATATTGTAATTGGAAGGATGCACATCAAAGAGTTTAATATTTTCAGCAGGTTTTAGGATGTTTCAGAAGCAGAAATACCCACAAATTTAGTCCTAATATTTGCTATCACTTTGTTTCCAAATCCCATAACTAGTGATCTAGGGGAAAAAAAAACAACCTAAGACTTCATGGAATGGTATTGATCTGGAAATTAAGCCTCCAGGGTATATGTGTAGGATATTTTGCTATGTCAGTATGTGAGAATATTTTCTGTTTTCCACAGCTGTCTGCTCAGAGCCCTGAAAGCCTTCACTGACTTCTCGGTTAGTACATAGACTTATTTCAAAGGAAATGCAGATCTGATAGGCAGAATAAACTTGATTTGAAAAGTTAGCCTCTCCAAATCTGTTTATTTGGTGCTTCATGCTCCTCTACGTTGCCCCTTCTGATGCTTATTATGTGTTAGAGTAAGCAGAGAGAACAATCCTGAGCTGCTTTATTTTTGGGGGGAGGGGAGGGGGAGGAAGAGGGAGCAGGATAAGAAAGTTATTTTTAATTAGAGGAAAAGTTGCTGATTGTAGAAAGAACGACTCAGTGGTTACCTGCAGGTCTCTCAGTCTCCTGCAAATTCATACCAAACTATTAAACTTTGCAGCCTCAATCCCTGTGTCAGTGAGTAAGGGAGTCTTTGATTTATGTAATTGGTACAACTGTGAATCTGCGTTTCCATAATTGCAAAGAGCCAGAGGCCTGGGGGTAAAACAAATGTGTGCATTTCAGACCTGCTCTCTTTCCCTGATTCCCAAAGCACCCCAACTGTCTTACAGGCTGACTTTTCTCTCTTCCTGCTCGCTTTCAATCATAGCAGCTGTGAAAAGCAAGCAAAATGCTTTCATCTGGTTATCATGGGAAGAAGTAGGGAGCAAGAAGGTGCACGAAAATATGCACTATTTTATCTTTTTCTCTGTGTGAGCTAAGGAAGGTGGTTTCTCTGCTCTGCTACTACTTAAGCAATTAGTGACTTGCTCTAACAACTACTGTTGTCCCTGTCAGTTCTGCCAGGAAAAGGGGGTGAAGAAGCTTTGAGACGTCAGGTTCTCAAAACTTAGGTGGATACTGGAATGATGCAGTGAATTGCATTAGTGAAAGTAGGCTTGGGGAACGTAAGGTATGGTGACTCTTGAATTCTGTTAAGGGCCCATAAGCAAAAGCTTGGATTTAGTAAGCTAAATGGTGCTGAACTAGCAACTGTTGAGACAGAGTTTGCTGTTGTCAGATTCTATCATATAATCCCTTTGAAAGTACAGTGATTTTTCAGAGTACAAAACTAAATCTTAACGCTATACTGTATTGTAGTGTTGCTTTCATATTTAAGTATAAAATGCACTAGGCTGTTCAGTGGCAGTACAGCAAAGGTACAGATTATTTTTGAAATGTCTGTGGCTTGTCTGTGAGAACAAAGCACCACAGGAGAGGAGAAATATACCTGGCTTTTCTGTCGCTGTCCCTGTCAGTTTTATCTAAATACGTGCAGACATCATTAGATCTTTGAATATTATAAAATCTGAAAACTTCTTACTTTGGATTTACTTCTTAACTGAGAGAATATTCAGAGTACTTTTTATCAGCTCACATTCTCTACCTGTGTAAACCAAATGTTTCTGAGTATGTTAAGTGATCCAGTACATTACTGGAGAAAAATACTTAATTTTCCTTTTCAAAATGTCTGACACGGGATTCATTCACATCAGCACACAAATATGTACCATAAAGTTATTGACAGCACTGTAACACGTAGTAGCTGAAATCCCCATAGTAGACTAGCTAAACAGATTTCAGAGTTGCTTCCATTTTTGTCTTACATATTTTCCTGCAGAAGTAGTCCGTATTGTTACCACCCTCTTAACTGAAGTGGCATCAGAGGAGAGGAAGCTTTTCAGTTAGTTCATTCTAGAGCTTTATCTATTGTAGCTTTTGCATATGTGATGTTAAGG